GTCTCCACGTAGTCCAGTTGTTGGACTAGAGCAGTGGAGTGGACAAATGCAAATGTATCGGAGACTTCCAGATTGTGCTTTTTGCTGCACATCCACAGCAACATTCTGAAGATGAAGACATTGGTACTTGTCTTTCATGTAGGTTTCTCCTATCTAATACTAATAGTTTAAGAGGGAGAAATCACATTTTGACTGCATAATCAACTAAGGGAACTTAGGATCTTCTTTCTGGGATCCAGGCTGCATCTTGTGAACAAGGACTGTCTCCGCAGTATACCCATTTAGCTTATTGACTCACAAGCCCAGACAGACTACAATAAGGGCTTGGCATACTTCCTGAAAAGGGTTGCTGGTCATTTGGGTGCCACAGAAGCTGCAATGTTCTCGATGGCCTTTGTGGGAGGAGGTACACTGTGTGACACTGGCAAGCCAGGTGCCAGCTCATGAAAATACCCCTAGGGCTAAACTGAATTCTAACAAATACTAGCTGCCAAGAGCACTGACAGAATTGCTGGCCCCCTGAACCAGGTGCGGGGCGGGGGATGGGAGTGGGTCTGGCTCTACACTTACAGAAGGGGCGGGGCCTTGCATGGAAGGATCAGAGCTGGGGGCTAGTCTTTCCCTGCCAGCCCTTCAGCACCATCCGGAGTGTGCCACCTGGAGCTCTGGTGGTGACTTAAAGGGCCCAGGGCTTCAACTATCTCCACTACCACAGTTATGGGGCCTTTTTTGATCACCAGGCACTGAGCCGGCTCTCCCCTTCACCCATCCCTACCTCCCATCAGCAGGCCTACTAGCTGCCACCAGTCTGGCTCACTTGTGTGCAGTGCTTGTTTAAATAGGTATTAGAGTAATCAAAATGTATTCAAACTTTATTAAATGTTTGTAAGTTGTCGCATGCCTTAATCTCACTTATAATATCGATGTTCTATATTATAAGGTATTATTGAAGTGTTTGCTCAATGAGGCCGGGTCTACACTAGCCCCCTAATGTCGATTTTCTAAGTGATGTGTCCACACTACCAAGCCCGTTATTCCAGAATAAGAGGCTATGGAATTTGAACTCTGTAATCCTGCTTTTCACAAGGAGTAATGCATTCCCGAACTTCTAAGTCCAACATAATGTTAGTGTAGATGCTCCAGTGTCACTAATTCAAACTAATTTGCCTCCAGGAGGTCTCCCACAGCTCCCCAGAGTGCTTCCGAGGGCTCTGAGTACTAGTCAGGCTCCATTAATGTGGATATCCTACCTCAGACTTCATTTGATTCCTACCCGTAGTGAGGACACAGAACTTCGAATTTATAAAATAGGGTACCCAGAAGTCAAATTCAGTAAATTTGAAATAATCACCGGACAGAAAAAAAAGCATTAATAAGCCTGAAATACTAGTTTCCAATAGGAGGTGTTATCTCCTGTCCAACAAAGAAGGCCCATTAACCCAGACGAAAAATTGTGGAACATCACAGGACAAGACTTTGTTGATTGCTCACTGCCTCCTCCCTAACCCCTCCTGAAGAGGAGACTTGCATGTGAATTCCTCTTAACAGATGAAATTGTGACTGGAAGCAGAAATGCAGGGGGCAGGGGAGGCAAGGGAGGAATAAAAGTCTTCAAGCCTATGAATCGATGGAATTGTAAAAAGTTAGATTTTTTTTAAAGTATAGTAAATAATTTTATTTGCTTTCTGGTTTCTGAGCCTTAGGGTTAACTCAGTACATCAGGCATGTTGTGCATATTTTCATAGTTTCAGGATTTTTGTCAACACTGAGGACTAGAAACTTTTTCTTTAAAATGTAAGCTGAGACTCTCCCTGAACACTTTTCTCCAAGAACTGTAGTTTTGAGAGAACCCCCAAATATTGCAAGACTTTTGAAAAAATCACCAGGGGTAGCAACACTGGTCACTGACATCCTAATTTCAGTAGTATCTAAACTTTACACAAATTATTTCATATTCTGCTAGTGATATCTTTAGAGAGGCATATAGCAAAATGAAGAGAATAGTATTGAGAAATGTAAGAATCTAGAAGCAGAGGTTTGGGTTGAGGATTGGGTTTCATGACTTTGACCTTCCTCAGACAATCCCATATAATTTTTTTTCATTCAAAGGTCTCACAAAGAGTTCATATCTACCTTTGAGAGATTTATGAACTTCCCAGTGTATAAAATTAAAGGCAAATATGAGTATTCTATGTAGGTTTAGACATTATATTCGGGTAGCCTCCATATGGGGCAGTAGAATAGATGACACAATCAGAGGTGCTGGAACAATTTTTATAATGGCATGCTGATGATGGAAACCGTGTATTTTTGTTTGTTATTTAAGCCAGGGAATGTATCAGCACCCTTACCACCACTGGGCACAGTGGTCAAGTTTCAAAAGGAGGACGTCTCATAGGAAAACTGAGAGGTTCAATACTTCTTATTTGTCACTTTAGAGTTGTTTCTTTCGTTTCACCCTCACATGGAGAATTCACAATAAGTAGGCTGAAAACTTTGTTTTTTCACAAAGTGTCTAGGAGTTATAAAACCTGTATTCAGCTTCATGAATCTCTAGGGTCATAAACACCTATATCCTTCATTCTTTTCTTTTTTTTTTCTTTTTGTAGTTTTCAGTAAATTGGAAATCTTACCTCCAAGTCACTCACTATAAGTTTCTGCTGTTTTGTAATTAACACCTAGAACCTGCACTTTTTGAGGCAAGGAGACAAAAGTCTTGCTTTCTGCAGTCCGTTAACAGTCTCTCAGTTTATTATGCTCTCCCTCCTATTTGTTTTTAATTGAGACCTTACTTATAATGTAGCCATTTTGCTAAATGTAGAATATTGCTACATTACCACACATGAGTTTGCCTGGTTTTTATGTACATTAGCAAATTATGAAAGATCAAATATCTGAGGAAGCTGACACATACTAAATTAATCCTGAAGTAACCTTGTATTAACCGTTTCAAGTTCACAGTAGTATGTTAAACCACCACATTTAAAAGGCAG